CCCAGCATCCTCACTGTTCTTACCTCCAGATGTCCGACGATGCAGAAGCGCCCGGGCTCCTTCAGGCCGCAGGTGGAGGTGACGCTGAGCTTGTGCGCGCGGCCAATCAGCAGGTCACCTGTGGCGGGGTAGCAGCTGCCCTCGGTGCAAACATCCGGGAACTCTGGGAACTGCTGCGCCCTGACGGAGGTGCACAGGGCTGCAGGGAGGGAAACATACAGCTGTTAGTGGTGATGGTTCCAAAACATCCTACATTATATCTTCCTTTACTTTCAATTATAAAACCCAGAGAATCCAAACTTTACCAAATGGATTCTGTTTAAGATTGAGCAATACAAAGTTATTTCTTTATTACATTATTCTAAAATTACAAACCTTTCAGGCTCAATTCAATAGTCAACAAAGTAAAATGGTGTTGATACAGTATACATGAAGTAAAATAAACACTTTACATCAAACAAAACTTTTAAAGAATACAGTCTTGCTTAAACAAAGAGTGATGTTTTTTTTTTAGCAATACAAAGTTGTATTAGGCCTTTGAGATATGATTGATATACTATACAAATCTTACATGCTACATAGTAAACAATGTCAAAACATGACTTATGTACATGTACACAGTAGGCACATATGTCCTGTATTAACATGTTCAAACTAAGTGTAAAAGTTTCCTGCAGCAGCCTTATCTTTCCTCATCTCTTAAAACATGATATAATAATCGTTTGCATATGGATATCATTACATGCGTTGTGGCTGCAGACTGTTTTGGCAGCCTGGAAATGTTAATTCAAACCAGAGTGCTGATAGCATCTCAAGAAGTTTTGACATATAAACAAAAACTTTTTAAATAAAACTCACCCAAAGTTGTTATAAAGAGGATTATAAGCGACATTTCCACGAGCAGTACATTGACAGCACGTCTTGTCGATGATGTTGATGATGATGATGATGATGTTGATGCGTCCTTCAGTTAAGAGAGTCAGTCAGTGTGTGTGAGTGTGTGAAGTATTAAGTCAGAGGGAGTCTTCTTGTAGAAGTCCTTATGTATGGAGTGTAGTGAGTGCCCAACATAGACCTAGAGAGAGTATGGAGTGTGGAGAGTGCCCCAGCTGACTGAAGAAGACTGCTGTGCATCATTATATGGCAGCAATCAGCTAAAAAAAAATTAAAGAAGTATTAAAGTGTTTTATAAATATCACTTAAAGGTGGGGTAGGTCATTTTGGAGAAACCAGCTCGAGTGCGCTATAATTTGAAAATACACAACCGGAAAAAATCTGCCACTTCCTTACAGAGCCCCTCCTCCAACACACACGAACACGCACATGACCAATGAGGGCACGAGATAAGTTTGTGCACAGATGGAAGGCTGACAGGCAGGTAGGCCATCCAGTTATTTTAGCCGGGCCGGGTAAAATGATTGGTCGTGCTTTTTACAGTACTACGGCTTCCACAGATTAAAAAATGTTTATGTATTTATTGTCAAAGCATTTAATATATTCATTGCTATCGGGATGTTAAGAGCATTCCATGGAATATAACAATAAGTGTTTCTGAAATAAATTACATACCCCACCTTTAAGTAATAGAAGTAAATGACAGAACAATAAGAGTAAGTGCCCAGCATTCAAAAAGTAAAAGTAAATAAGTATTAGCATGAAATACACTATATAAGTATTCAATTCCGTATTTCATAATAATATATCTATTGTATTACGGGATTATAATTGTAAATGCATGTACAGTATGTGCATATGACCCTACATGTAGGTGGAGCTAATTTTGATAGTTTGCATATTGCTGAATAAAATCATAAATACATGATAATGTAATATAAAACAATGAGATACAATTTATCTATAATCTTTTATTAGAAAGTATATTTTAAATATAATTTGGGTGACTGATCTTTCATTCAGAGGCAATTTAAATTAGTATTTGACATTTAGATAAACACTTCAAAAAAGATTCCAGAGAAAGACAAACATAAAAACAAGAAATATTTTAGTTTGAGCCAATCTTTTTTGGTGGATTTCCCAAATAAATTCAGATATCTGGATTATAACACATGTCGACACTGCCACCTTGTGTTATTAATGGAAACTACAGCTATAAAGACCACCACTCAAACTCTGTATTGCCTTTTCATGTTTTATACGTTGTTTGTTAAATGTTCTTATTCGTTACCTCGATCTTTGATAATAACATTGGCTGTACACATCAAGATCCACTTTCTACGTAATGTCACATTCTAGTGGCTGCTATATCCAGATAAAGTAACAGTCTTATAGATTGAAGTATCTGTAAGTCTGGAAACCGTTTAACATTTCTTAAGTGTCTACCAACAACAAGAAATAAAGATTACATGCTGTGACATTTATATGTATCATTGGACAACTATCTGCAACAGACTGTAATATGGGTGCTTTATGTATGTATAAGAAACTGATCATAACAGAAGAAACAACGTGGACATATGGAGTGCAGAGTAGTATAACACCAACTAAAGTATAACACCAAAAATATAAATCTTGATATAACGAGAGCTCTATTACTTCGTGGCAAACATCTGCATCTCATGCACATCTGCTTTATTTTAAAGCTTAAACTTTTCCTCCATAATTATATATAAAGAGAGTCAGAAATGTATCATTTCTATTTATAAATGCTGAATGAACTAACACCAGAGGTGTCAAATTAAACTCATTGAAATGGTGTTTGATGAAAAGCCCTCAGCATGTGTCCAACAGTCATTTCCACTTCCTGAAGATACAGCTGAGAACATTCATTTATGTTCTGAAAGGCACTTTGCTCTACCCTGTAATCCAGGTGATGGAAGCAGTGTGTGTGTGTGTGTGTGTGTGTGTGTGTGTGTGTGTGTGTGTGTGTGTGTGTGTGTGTGTGTGTGTGTGTGTGTGTGTGTGTGTGTGTGTGTGTGTGTGTGTGTGTGTGTGTGTGTGTGTGTGTGTGTGTGTGTGTGTGTGTGTGTGTGTGTGTGTGTATATAGCGCCTGTCATGGGACGCAATTCTTGATGGAAGAATTGCGTTTTTTTCTTTCTGGAGGCAGATTTCTTCTTCTTCTGCAGTCGTTAAGAATTGTAACGTTTGGTATTATTATCAACTGAAACCAGAGCAGAATCTGATAACAGGCTTTTGTAAAACTCAATTAAAAATATCATTAAATGGCCACTAAAATCCCCAAAATGTCCTCATAGCTGGTTGTAGATTTTTCACTAAATTGAGAATTAGAATTAAGACAGAAACGGGGAAATGAATAAAGTCAGAATGTAAGGTCGTGCAGGACGTAAATCTGGACAAGTACATTCTTTTTGCAAACATTTTTACTTTCATTTAGAAATTCAAACTAAACATCTCCCTCCTGTAAGTTGTTGTTTTTCTTTAACTCATGTCTGACCCTACTTTATAGAATGTGTTCCTGTTATGTTATTGCAAAGGTAATACTTAAACACACATCCTGAGTTTCTCTCTCTTTTATGTGCAAACTGCAGCATAAAAGAGTTAATTGTTCATTACTGGATATGCATCGCTGCATTCTCACGTGGGAATCTTTTTGTTCTCACGGGACTGATGAAGTTGCCTCGAGGCACAACTCTTAATTGTCCTCTATTTAGAAGTAGGTTGCTTTGGATTCTTGACATATAATATGAGCTTTACTTTACTTTCAGGAGAACTGACTCTCAAAAAAGGTTGTTTGTATTATTTGTTGGTATTTTCAATATTTCTTTTTCTTTGGCTGTGTTTCTAGCTGTACTGCATCTATTAAAAAAAGAAAACTTCTGTCCCCACTTTCCTTTAATCCCACTCAATTAACCTTTACTGTATTCTGGCTGAGCTGCAGATATGAAATAGATTCAAGCGCCTACATCTTTCAATTTGCAGGGATTTTAAAGCACAAGACACACTAAAACACACACTCCCTCAACAGCAGGGGTGAACACACTTCTCGCAGTTTCTTTTCTCTCTCCTCCCCTTTCTTCTTGCCGTCATTTTAATCCTTCCTCCATGCTGAGAGTTCAGTGCAGAGTGGAGAGAGGAAAAAAGAAAAAGGGAAACACAAAAAGGACCCGATTCCTTGTTATTTTTTCATACCTGTCTCGTTCTTTAATTCTTCGTCCTGCCATTTGTTTGATCTTCTTCCTCTGTGGGATAAGGTAAGACATGGGATGTGGAAAATCCTCACCAGCCACCAAGAACAGCAGCAGCAGCAACAGCAGCAGCACTGCAGGTCAGAAACAATGTGATCATATTTCAAATGGTGTTTATCTAATAGCATATAAGACATAATAATCATATAGTTTACATAGCACCTTTGAAAAGATTCTGATTCTAAATCAAAGTTACAACGTGCTTTTAAAACATAATTTGATCATTACGTTTTGTTTAAGAAAATGCCAGATGATAAAAGTGAGTTTTAAGAAGAGATTTAAACGTTTTTTTGTGCAATATTAGAGAACATAGGAGATGATATAAAAGATTCAAAACTTTTGAACGACTCAAGTCATTTAGGTAAATTGTTCTGTTACATTTTGCTCTTAAAGGCATAGTCAGGGATTTATTTAACCATATAAAGCTGATTGGACAAACCCATACCTGTTTTATGTTGTTGACAGCTTTGCTAACACCCACCACCTGTCTAACATTGTTTCTAAAGACACCATATTCTATCATTGAGTACACTGAGTAAGTGGGCTTTTTTTATTTATATGATATTCAATGACTAACAATAACAGTCAGTGGAGGATGGTAGCACAGTAACAGGTGTAAATGTACTTTTTAAAATAATGTGAAAAGAAATATTAAATAGTAAAGTCATTTACACACTTATTCATTTTATACATCTGTCTGTTTGAAACTTCAGGGCAAGCCGAGTCTTCAACAAAGGTGTAAGTTCATTTTACTCAGACACATGCACACACACGCACACACACACACACACACACACTTTTAAGAACACATTTGGATTTTAAAACGTGTCTGTGTTGTTTGACCTTTCTCTGAAGTTTTCCATTAACATATTCAATTTGTGTGTGTGTGTGTTTGTGTGTGTGTGTGTTGACAGATTAGAAGAGTCTGTGCCAGAAGATGAAAAATGGAAGTGAGTCATTGAATAGATGTTTTTAGTGCATAGTCACATATTCTGTACGTTTATACATGAATGGATTATATAAAGTATATTTTGCATTAACATTAAGGACAGTGAGTTTGTGTGTGTGTGTTTGTGCATATAGGAACTACGGAGGTGTGTATGTAGGTTTTCCTACAAACCTGAGTGACATTCCTGCAATACACATCGGATCACTCAGAGGTAACACACACACACACACACACACACACACACACACACACACACACACACACACACACACACACACACACACACACACACACACACACACACACACACACACACACACACACACACACACACACACACACACACACACACACACACACACACACACACACACACACACACACACACACACACACAAAATCCATTAGAGATTTTAAATGGCATTGGGCCCCATGCAAGAACCCAAAATGATTCCTTCGTATGTGGCGCATTGAAATGATTTGACCAAATGTGAGCTTTCACAACATTTTTCAAGTTTATAGTCAGCCACTTATCACAGGGGAACATTTTACTTTAAAAAGTATTGCCTCTAATGTTTAAATATGATGGGTTTAAAAAAAGTGGTTGGGTCTGATTTTTTAAATGTGTTGAAGGCAACATGCTTACGTGCCAGTTTAATACATATCTAAATCCAAATAAAACACACACACACACACACACACACACACACACACACACACACACACACACACACACACACACACACACACACACACACACACACACACACACACACACACACACACACACACACACACACACACACACACACACACACACACACACACACACACACACACACACACACACACACACACACACACACACACACACACACACACACACAATTTCCTGTTGAGTCTCCAGGGTCATGAGAGCATGGGAGACAGAAAACACTGACGACCACTTCACAGTCGGCACGTGTTTGTTTTCCTTTTATATACATGTATGTACATACAGTATACATAACATATACATATATTCACACAAACTGTGTATAGCATTTATATTTTGTTAATGCTACACATGCATTGAATTGTTATGAACGACAATTTATTTTCCAATAATGCCGTAAAGCTGTCAAAGGATTTATTAAAATCTTTCATTTTATTAGTGCTTCACGTGCATTTAATTGAATGTTTGATGTGTGTGTTAATTAATGAAACTGTCGTCCACAGAGCACGACTTGTCGTCCCTCGGGAGGCCGCTGTGGAGGGACGGATCCTGATTTTAATGAAGAGCAGGTGTGTGCGCTTTGCTTCAGTGTGTGTGTGTGTGTGTGTGTGTGTGTGTGTGTGTGTGTGTGTGTGTGTGTGTGTGTGTGTGTGTGTGTGTGTGTGTGTGTGTGTGTGTCGACCTCCAGTTTCTCTTTGCTGTTTTCTCGTTAGTGAGAGCTATAATGCCACATCAGCGGTTAAAGGGCCGTGCCAGTGTTGTTGCTTGCAGGCTCCAGAATTAATTAAACATTTGAATAAGTACATTTGAACTTATTTGGTATTTTGATTGTATTTTAAGCAGATTCCATTTACCACTAACTGTTTACATCTATGGCTCTGAAGCCATAACTTTTTTTGCACATTATTAATAATCTTTATAGTATATATTTGTGTTTCTATTTGCTCTCTTTAAATCCTTCAGGATAAAGCTCAATGTTATATGAACTAATTAACTATCACGCACTGTAATGTGCTTTTGTTCCATTTCCGACCAGTTAAATAAATCCCTTGAAGTCAATCCTGCTGCTCTTCTTTATGCCTCTTAGTGAACTGAAAGACGGAGAAGAATTAAGAAGAGGAAACCCTGCAGGCGTCCTTCAGTTTGCCATCAGAGACTCACCGAGTGATGAGGAGCCGCTCTCATCTTCTCTCGCTGCTTCGTCCTCCGTGAGGACTGTACTGGGATCAGCTCCTCCTGGTTTTGCTTGCTGTGGAGCCTGCTGTAAAACAAACTGGTTAAAGACTTTTGGAAGCAGATGGACTCATCAGACAGTGACAGTTTGCAGTTTAAACATATGAAGGTGCTTAGATAGTTGGTTCCACTTCATTTGACCTTATTGGCTTGTTGTGTATCTGCTTAAGGAAACACCAGCAGCAGCTGTTACAAGAGGCAGAAGCTGTGGTAACTCTCCTTGTTGAGGGAGTAATACTGAGTTCATCCAAATATGTAGTAGGACTAAATGTTAAATATAAATAGGGATAAGTGTGGTGATATTCAGTCAACAAAAATCAAGTGTCAGTGTATCCCAATCCTCTTCTTATGTGCTTCACAGCTCTATTGTTGTCAGAAAACTATGAAAACCACACCGATGAGCCACACGGTTGCACTGGTTGGCATTTACCTTCATCATCATGAACACACACTGTATTTGTATTTTGACGGCCTGCTTCAATCCAATGTGGAATCATTTGCTGCTGAAAATAGTCCCTAACAAAAGCACTAATGACCAATATTTTACAAAATGACTTTAGCCTTTTAGGAATATACAAATATAGATCAATGAGCTGTTTTCATATATTAATTGTACGATGTCGATGTTCAATAAAACATTTTATTTAGGGAGCATGTTTCTGTAAGGTTTCCACAGTATAATACCATAGTGATGAAGGCTGGATTAACGTTTAGTACTCACGTGTAGCTTGTTTTGTTTGAAATGATAACGTGCAGACTCTTGGCGTCTCAAGGACACAGACAGCAGTAAGTGGCTCCTGCTGTGAGAGGACGTCAGACAATCATCTCTCCTTTGGGCATTTACACAAAATGAAAGCTGTATGAATGTTTTTGAGTCTACCATTTGTGCTCAACGTGAACCCACCTGTTCTCTCCCAAGGAAAATACCTGTTGGTTTCTTAGGAAGTGGCTAAAAGAAAGCACATTATGTCACACACAGCATGGCTCTGATGTTTCTCAATTTGATTATTTAACAGAAAAGATAATTGAAATGTATTGTATATTGCAGCAATTTGTTCAAGTCTGTTCAAATCCACCCAAATAAACCACAACCTGCAAATGTCTTGAGGTTGTATTTCAACACATGTTTCAGACAATTTTAATTAGGAACACATTCAGAGAATAGAGCTTATTAAAATGACTTGTTATCCTTCCTTCTCACCACATCAATACTCAACCCGCTACTGTATAGTACACATTCACTGTATTTGAGTTAATGTAAAACAATCTATCTTAATATTAGTCTTGCTCTGTGATGCTGTTGTGGCATTTCTGCACAAAAATGTCTATGTTTTTGTAGAGGTTTTGTTTTTTACTGTCTTCAAAATGTTTTCCTTTTGAGATGCGAAAATGTGTAAGAAAGTAAATTATTTCCCCTGAAAGCTGCTTCTCTTTTTGTTTTCAATCAAGTGATACTTTTGCTGACTTTTGTTTAACCATGAAATGTAAAAGACAAATAGAACATATAAACGGCAGGATAAAGTGAGGAACAATGGTTTATTGAGCAATTATTTGAACCAGCCCAAAGAGAAATACATGAACAAAAACAACAGTGACTAAGGTTGTATTTGAAGAATTAATATTTGAGATACATTGTAATGTTTTCCAATAAGTAATGAGAAATTGCAGTACAGAAATTCTGAAAAAGATAAAAACGGTGTCACTACTGCACAGCTGGTTCAACAGCTAATACTTACAGGTTTAGTTTTTAAATATAAGTAGAATTTCCCAGAATACATCCCAAAATATGTGTTATCTCTCTCGAGGTTGAATATTCAAATGTTATTAGTAGTATAAATGTTATGGTTGAAAGAAAGCTTTTCTGTTGAAATGTAAAACTTTATTTGGTTTAAGAAACTAAAAAGGTTCTGCTAAGGTTATCTACTTCACAATAAAGAAGGAATGTTTTAAATAATGAACCACAATCTGTCAACAAAAAGGAACAAGTCACAGGTGCAATAATGAATGTAGGGCGGAAGTGAACTTAAAGTGCCTTGGTGAATAAATGGTTCGTGCATTGCTTTGCAAACTGAGGTGTGTGAGGTTTAGAGGTTCCACTCAAGCTGCAGAGGAATGTAAGGCATGTGTGGTATTATAGTATAGAAAGGCATTAAGTGTTTATAAAACAGTAATCCTGCAGCATGTAGGTGGACGAGTAGAGGGAATGTGGCTCACCAAAACCTTCACATGGAGCCCTGACTACCCTTTCTGATGACCACTTCCTCTCCTGACGCCAGCTTCCTGTACAGCTGCGACAGTTCATCAGGATGAGGCGTTTTGGACTCAGGCGTGCAGGGAATATCGAAGTCTGACGACGCCTGAGACTCTGAGAGCTCTTCCTTGCTCTCCTTCTCCTGAGTATTTATCCTGCAGTCTTCATGTTGCTCAGGGCGGAGGATCAGCGTGTCGGGGAAATACGAGTCCTGGTTCTGGGAGGAGTGGTTCGACAGCGAGGCGGAGAGTGTCAGACTGAAGTTTCCATCGTTATCTGGGGTTTCCTCCTCCTCACTGAACAGTTCTGGGGTCTGTGAGCCCGTCATTTTGGAAGGGGAGGGGCTGGGGACAGAGCAGCAGGATTGTAATTGGCTGCTGAGGCTGTTCTGGCTGTCAGGAAGCGTCTCCGTGGTGAAGAAGTCCTCCCATTTCGGAGGATGTGAGGAGCCTGCAACCTCAATTTTCTCAGCTTCCTCTATCGTCTTTTCCACCTCATCCTGACATAGATTGTTGTCCTCCTTTTCTTTGTTATCCTCCTCTTCCTCTTCCTCATCCTCCTCTTCACCATTGGACTCAGTGCAGTCTGCGTAATTGCGTGAAACAGACTGCGTGTCTGTGACTGTCAGAGGAAAAGACTCCTCTGCAGACACAGGGGGCGCCGCTTCCTGAAGAGCTTTCACTAAGGATTACAGATAAACAATAAACATTTGTTCATAATAAATCATTTAATAAAGTATTAGAGCCATTGTTAGGCTTCAATGAAATGAAGACACCATCATACACCACATTTATACATGCACCAAATATAATCCCCCCCAAACATTAAGGGGTTAAAATAACTACGCACCATTTTTTATTTCTTGGTTCAGCGCCATCTTCTTCCTCACTGGTGCCAGATCCAGCCCGTCAAACAGCTTCTCATCGCTGTCTGAATCTAAACAGAAGAGAACAGACACTCAATACTTTAAAGGTCCCATGTCATGGCCATTTCTACTGATCATAATTCCATTGTTGAGGTTAGATTTTAGAATACATTTATATTGTGCAATTTTCCAAACTCACATTGGTTTCTCATACAGCATCTCTGTATAGTATGTGTATTCACTCTCTGTCCTAAACGGCTTGTTGGAGCTCCTGCCCCCCCCCCCCCTCCCTGTGAGCCCAGTGGCCGTCTGCGAGACAGCGAGACACAGCGAAACCCAGCCCGAAACACACACACACCCGCAGCCTGGCTGGGAGTTTGTGTGTGTGCCCAGGCTGAGTTCCACGGTGTCTCGCCGACCCCACACCAGTGAGCCAGCTCACAGTGTCCCGCTCCTCGCAGCAGCGAGCCTCGCAGTGTCCCGCCGAGTGTGTGTGTGTGTGAGGAAGTCCGCGGATTGGTCCAAACGTAACGTAAACGTAACGGCTCCGCAGACCAATCTGCGGAGCCGTTACGTTACGTCACTATACCCGAAATACGTCACTATACCCAAGAAGTAAACAATGGAAAAAGAGAAATCCCCAACGAGGCGTTCTGGGGCAGCATAGACAGGTCTTTTCTGTGTTAGAGTTTTACTCGCTACAGGGTGTACTTTGAGGGTTTGTGACTCTGCAGACCGTTTACATGCATAGAAAGCTACATAACACACAAGGGGACGGGTAATAACCGGAAAAGCATGACATGGGGCCTTTAAGTTTGTTGAATGACAAAACTTTGTATAGCCTCCACCTATTTGTTTTGCCCATTATCTGCTGGCAAGTCATCCGTTCTCCTTATTATTAGGGATGTCCCGATCACCTTTTTTTGCTCCCGATCCGATTCCGATCATTTGATTTTGACAATCTGCCGATACCGATTTTTCCCGATCCGATCTTTATGCAATGCATTAAGAGAAAAAAAAGGTAACAGATAACGGCTGGTCATCCAACGCGATGAATTCAGCTATCTTGGCTGTTATTCTTTTGGCCTTTTCACTGTTCTGGGGCAGTTTCTCTTTCCTTTTAAAAGTCTCTGAAAGTGTCGGTTGTTTCAGTGCCGTTACCTGAGTGGCCGCTGTGTACTCGTCATGTTGTTGTTGGTGTTTGTATTAGATTGGTCGTGTTGAACGTAGCTCTGTTCTTTCCACCATGCGGAACCTCCGCCTTGCAAACATTGCATCTGGCTGTTACACTGCCTTCGCTTTCAATTTTATAATACTTCCAAACTCCTGACATTTTCTCTGTCCCGACTCCCGAGTCACCAGCTGAACGTAGCCTCTTGTTAGCTTACTGCTACTATTAGACACTGCGCCCACTCTGTTGCCAGATTTGAGAGAAATAAGCAACCAGGTCTATGAAAACAAGCCCAAAAGAAGCAACACATACATGATGTTGTATCATTTTAAACCAAAACTAAGGCCTCAGGATGACTTTAAGACGTGAACATGGTCATTTTTGTTTTGTAACATTAAATAAAATAAAAATATTTTATATAAAAAAATAAAAATAAATAAATAATAATTCCCGATCCCCGATTTTTTTCTCCCGATTCCGATCTTTTGAAAATCACGTGATCGGCTCCGATCCCCGATCACGTGATCGGATCGGGACATCTCCACTTATTATATCTTCGGAATATAATTTGCTGTACCAAAATAAAGAACTTCATTAGATGCACATTCACTTTTAACTCTATTGTTATTTTTCTCACACACACACACAGGCCCGAAACACACACACATGCACACACAGGACCCAGACATGCATTCATTGGGCCGGCGTGTTTACCAAGGAGAAGTTATTGGGCTTCAGGGGCGTCAAAAAGGAAAAAGGGCCGGGGTCGGTGCTTTGTTGAGGGAAACATCTTCATCAATGTAACCTGGTATCTCTAACATATCCAGCTGTAAGAATGCTCCTACTTCTCTTTGTGGTTTGTTTTTGAAAGAGAAGCACAAAATGAAGCTTTGATAACAGAATTTATTATTTTATATTTTCAGATGAAAAGTCCTCCCAAACGTTCAGCTAGCTTCCATGAAACAACATTTCATATATCAATTTCCACATACTGTAAACCAGCATTGAGGCTAAGGAAACTGTTACAGATGTCACATTTTGCACCTGTTGTGGTTATATAATGTATATGAAAGTGTGTGAGTGTGTGTCTCTCACCATATGTAGGTCGCTTCACCATGCAGCGTTTGAGGGCTCCCAGAGGTTTGTATACTGTCGCTGCTTGATCCGACTGGTTCCTGCACATCAGCATCAGCCTGTTAAAATACAAAGTGTCAACAAGTGTCTGGCAAATGCAATAACAACTCAGACTCTTACAACACATCTTAAAATAGTTTTGGAGGTTAACGTGTTATATCAAATCTTCACTCACATCTGTGTGACTTCAGTGAGTGTGCGACCAAGAGGGATGACACTGGGGTAGATGTTGACGGGCTGGAGGTAGGAGAGGAAGTCTTTCAGCTGAAATCAGAGAGGCACATACATTTTAAAGCACATTATTTCAAGAAGAAAATTAAGAGATATAAGCATTGTAAGCATCTGTAGTACCTCTAAGTAGGAGGAATGGAAACTGAAGCACGCTCTGAAGGAACTTGCTCCTGTTCTGGAATAAAAAACATAAAAAAGGCAAGTTTAGCATCCATAGATTTATGTTGAATTCTTCTTTCAGTGTCTTTTTTCACCAAGCACTTTAATTGACTGCTAAAATGTTAATGTATCATGACAAGCGTTTGTAATTGAACAAATATTCTGGATACATCTGAAGTTGCTCTTACTTTATGACAACGTTTGTTTTCCTCGTCCTCTCTCCGAACCACATGGTGGATGGTTTGATGCTGATGATTTGAAGAGGGGTCCCGTCAGACGCTGTGCAGCCACACGGCAGCCGGCTGCCGTGGAAAAACTCCTCAGCCTACACACACACACACACACACACATGGAGCAGTTGAAACGACACTGACTCAGGATTATAATTTGTTTTGAATAAGTGTCAATGACAAAACATTCAAAAATACATTCTAAAATGAATGGCATGCAATGGGAGAGGTTATCTTATGGGTTTTATTGAAACTACATGCACTGTAATAAATACCCTTATCTGTTGCTTGTTTTTTTATTAGCACAAATGCACCGCCCTTCTTTCTCTCTCTGTGTGTGTGTGTGTGTGTGTGTGTGTGTGTGTGTGTGTGTGTGTGTGTGTGTGTGTGTGTGTGTGTGTGTGTGTGTGTGTGTGTGTGTGTGTGTGTGTGTGTGTGTGTGTGTGTTTATGAGAGACATTAAGTGGGACCTTAGGGTGTCG